CGAGCTGCACGACCTGCAGATGGCGTGGATCCTTTCGTAGCTTTCGCATAATCCATCGCAAACGGGAAAACAAGTGTACGAGCATTGTCGATCGTACGCGCCACCTTAGCTCGTCATCGCGTTTAATGACAAAGATTTAGCCTTATAAGTACCTCGTTTGTCGATGAGCTCCGAAATCTCCTCCTTGTTGTCGGCCATCTTAGCACCAGTCACTGGTCACAATGCACGCTGGGTAAAAACAAACGAGCAGCACTGAGAGGCGCGTCGACGGTAGCGCCTCTATCTCCTGTTACTTGTATTCGTGAATGTAGATACCGTGGCGCCACAAGCGGCACTACTCGTTACTACTGATGACGTTGTCGTTGCCCGTAACTTTCCCCTTCTCTCCGTCCCTCTTTCCCATTCTATCTCGCGCTCTATCCCCTCCCCCAATCCCCCAATACGTGAGAATAAAACATACTCGCAGCGCGAACTTCACCTCATTATTATTATTATTATTATTATTAATTTGTATTTGGAACTTGAAAGTTCATTGCCGCAAATTTACCTGTATCCCACCAGTGTATCTGTTCCTAATCATGACTCGTAACCTATTTCCTTAAAATCTCTCCTAATATTGTCCTCCCATCTACGTCTTGGTCTACCCAGTGGTCTTTTTCCATTCGGAGTAACCACCAGTATTTTATGCGCCGTTCGATCCTCCCTTATGCGCGCCACGTGTCCTGCCCATCTTAATCGGCGTGATTTTAAAATATTAATAATGTTCGATTTGTTACACAGTCGGTGTATTTCTATGTTATGAAGTTTTCTTCATTCATCTATTTATCAATTTTCATAAAGGACTACCGGTAGAATGATTGTCCTGTATATCTTGATTTTTAAATGCCTAGACAGCTGAGTAATTTATTGACCGAATGAAATCATGCATCACTTCATCTCATTATTCAAATCAAATTTGAATGATCTCGTCAATGAAAAAATAAAATAATCGATGATTTAACGGTACACGAGTATTTTTAATCACCTCAATTTTATTACCGTTATAAATCCAAAACCTGTGTGTTATCTAATAAAACATATTTTTTTTTTTTTTTAAATATGCTTACGTCTTATCTTTCATTGAGAGTGTATTACATTTCAATGTGAATTCATAACTGTAAATAATTATTTTTAAATAAATATCAAACATTAAATCAATAAATTTTAATTCATTAATTCATGATGTATATTTAATATTAATAATATTTCTTTTTTCTTTTTTATCTTCATACGAGATCATTCGATTAAATTAAATAAAGATTCAACTAAAATGCGCCATTCAGAGAACTAAAGATATATAAGTACCCGGTTAGAGAGCACGTTATATAAGCATTGATAAACATCACATTGCCAGTAGTGTTCTCCCAGCATCCCGACAGTTCACTGCTGAATGTCATTACTGTCCTACGTAGGTCGTACGTCCGATAACATTCCGTTAGTTTCGTTCGTAGCGAACGGTAGTATACTTCGAGTGTTTCCGATTCTTACGAGTAGTTGTTAACGTGCAACATGAGTTTCCACGACGTGGTTATCGTATCTGCTGTCAGAACTCCTATTGGTATGTTTTATTATCTTTAATATAAAAAAAAGATATTATTTACTTTATAACAATGATTTCATATTTTAAAAGGAAACTTTTGTGGAAACTTATCGACATTAAAAGCATCAGATTTAGGATGTATTGTGATGAAAGAATGTCTTGCAAAAGTCAATGTAGATCCATCCGAAGTATCCGAAGTCATTTTAGGACAGGTAATATTTCTTACGAATATATATATATATATATATATTTTAGTTGCATTATGTTATATTATAGTATTATATTTTGTAGACGTTAACAGCAGGCCAAGGTCAAAATCCAGCAAGACAGGCAGCTATTAAAGCAGACTTCCCACTACGTGTTCCTGCTTATCAGCTTAATATGTTATGCGGTTCTGGACTAAAGTAAGTATTTTTTATGAATAAGCTATTGTTGCATTTTAATATGGTACTATTTATAAACGTATAAAGTCATCTTATTTATTCTTTATTTAACCCCGTATTCAAACTGAAAAGAATTCTTTCTTTTCTATTTGTACTATTGCGTAAATGTATTTAGTTATTTAACACAATGATTATTTTTATCAGGGCAGTTACAAATGGTTATCTATCTTTAAAAAGTGGAGAGAGTAATATTGTCGTAGCAGGAGGTCAAGAAAATATGAGTTTAGCGCAACACTCAATTTATCTTAGAAATGGTATTAAACTTGGAGATGGTGGTTTGGTTGATACATTATTAAACGATGGATTGACCGATGCATTTACTTCTATTCATATGGGAGTAACAGGTAAATTGAAAATATTAATATACAAATTTGATCAATAAAATTCTATGTACGTGCATAATCTTAAATAAGAGTAAAATATTATTTCTAATGATTTTAAAATATAGCTGAAAACATTGCAACGGATATGAAAATAACTCGAGAAGAACAAGATCGTTATGCAACCTTATCTCAACAAAAAACAGCTACTGCCATTTCAGCAGGATACTTTGATAAAGAAATTGTTCCTGTACCAGTAGTAAATAAAAATGAAACTATTCTTATAACTAAGGATGAATTTCCTAAACCTGCAACTACTTTTGAGGATCTTTCGAAATTGAAACCTATTTTTGTTAAGGTACTCAAAATATATATTCTATAATACAAATAGAAAAAGAGAAAGAATGATATATATTGTAATTATTTTTAGAATAATGGAACTGTTACTGCTGGTAATGCATCTGGTATAAATGATGGAGCAGCAGCAGTAGTTCTTATGACAAAAGAAGAAGCATTGAAAAGAGGTTTGAAACCATTAGCTCAAATTGTTGGAATGGCTGAAAGTGGAGTAGAGCCACGTGTCATGGGTCTTGGTCCAGTACCAGCGATTGAATTACTTGTAAGTTTTATTACTGTACATCATTTATTTTGTATAAAAAATAATTTGATTTTATTTGCGTATTTTAGTTACAAAAAATCAAATGGAGTAAAGATGAGGTAGATCTTTATGAATTGAATGAAGCATTTGCTGCACAAGCACTGGGATGTATTAAGAAACTTGATATTGATCCTAAGAAAGTTAATGTTAATGGTGGTGCTATTTCTTTGGGTCATCCTATTGGATGTTCTGGTATGTATCATAAGCTATAATGATGAATAGAATAATGAAAGTACTCATTGTGTACTATATTGTAAATGTATTTTTTTTTGTTTTGTTTTTTACAGGAGCTAGAGTTTTAGTAACTTTGATTTATGCATTAGAAAGAACAGGAGGAAAGAAAGGTATTGCATCATTGTGTATTGGCGGAGGAATGGGCATTGCCATAGCTATAGAAAGAAAATAACAGTTTATATTGATTATTTTTATTATTTACTATGACAAAATTTACAATTTTTGTTTTTAAAAATTGTCAATTTAAAATCCATATTGATTATTCAATTGACGACAATTTTTTAATTAAGGTGTATGGGGAAAAAAAAAGGGAATTTTCAATATTACTATTACTATCTATCTATTAATTTTAAAATATGAAATATAGTTGAATAATTATTAATCAACTATAAACTTGCAATATTTAAATGACGAATATAATAGCTGTGAACTGTGATGAATGAGATATGACAAAGGCCATATGCATGCACTTGTGTGGTAGTCAAAATTATTTATAATATATATATATATATATATATCAAATGTGCTGAATACAATTTTAAAAAATGTTAACTGAAATTTCTAGTGTACAATATACTGTTTTAATTTTACAATATTTGGATCTTAGAAAGAAAAAAAAAAAAAAAGAAATACATTTAAGAACGAGTTGCAAATACATTTACAAATATTGCATTATTATATAAAAGATAATTATGGAAAAAGCGTAATAACAGTTAATAAGGCACAGCTTTATCTATAAATAATTAAATGAAGACTTCTCACTATTTTTCTACATATTATCCAAACTAATATTGCTCAGCTGATGGTTCTTCCAATCTAATGAACTAATTCAGAGTGCCTTCTTTTAGATAAATTTAATATAAACTTTATTACTTTTTTATATATATTAAAAGTATGTAAATATGTTGGAAAAGAAGTATTGCCTATTTCTGTGTTATCATACTTGTTATTAACTATATATATTATTACGTATATATATATATATATATATCTATATATGAAACATGCATACATTGATAATATTTCAGTCTCTTTAATGTAAAAAAGTAGCCACATATTTACAAGCATTTAATTATGCAATGAATATTATTTATACGTCACTTTTACTAATATTTTAACTATATATCAAATTTGCTTATATGTAACCGCAATACTTTATGGAAATACAATCCTATCAAATGCATTTATTTATTTTATAATATCACTACAACACTTGACGTATTTTTCTAAAAAAAAAAAAAAATATTATGCATACTACATTGTAAATTTATATTGCTTTTACGTAATACAATATGTTTTTATCACACTTTTGCTCCATATGTTTTTATAAGTGGAATAAAAAGTATAAATATACATTCATTTCATTCAAATGAAACATATTTGTTGTTTGCATGTTTAAAGAATATGTGTACTGTATAGATAATAGTTAATAATTAATTAAAATAAGAACTAAAAATAATTCTAAAATATGTTCATTCATCTTCACTATCTGAAGAAGACTCCATTGTATTCTTCTTTTCTAAAATACTTTGTACTGCTAGAATTCCTTCCTGTTGATTTAATTGTGCACGTTTTTCTCTATAAGTTCGTTTTGCATTTTTCTTTTTGCTTTTGCGTTCTCTTAATTGCTGTAATTGATCCTTGATAGCTGGTATAATCCGTACCTTGAATTTACATAAATATGAAAGTATATCATCATGTATTAAATATATTTCTTAACACTGTAAAAAATCAAGGAAAGTGTTCAATAATATGTGACTACTTATTTCGTAACATTATAGTTACCTATTATTATTATTAAATTTGCAAATTATCCAAGTATATTGGATACATTAAGAAATTGATATACTTAATGGTAAAGCAGGATAATATCCACTATAATCTTTCTTATCTTTATTAAAATGTGTAAAATACTTTGGAGCATCTTTTTTTGTAATCAAATCTAAATTAGGTATACATATTTTTGAATGATTTTTAATGATGTGACCCCAAAAGGAATCTACATTAAGTGCCGTATCCTTTAAACAAAAATAAGATCCCCATATTGTTGAATTTAAGATTTTGTCATCTGGATGTGATAAAAATTGATGAATCATGCCTTCAGACATTTGTTCTTCTACGAGTGCTATCGTATCACAATTACCATATTCTTTTGGTACATAAACATCTTGTATAAGATTATCTCCAATATATACGCAACGTGGATTTTGTTTGCCTGATATTCTACTAAAAAATTTAACAAGACCGTTCCAATTGCCATAACTGTATACACTGCCTCTTACTAATTCGTCACATGATATAATATTATTTTCTTTATTATTCGCTATAGTCATAAAGGGTTGTTCCTTTATGAAAAATCCTGGTTTTTTGGCATAACAAATGACAATGTCAAACAATGATCTCCAATTTTCACCAAGTGCATAAGTTGCAGTTAATTCAACAAAATCAATATACGATCCAGTAATCAAGAAAGTTATCTTATTATTTTTCATCTCTTGAATCCAGGATATCGTATCGGGTTTACATTTGTGTAAATATTTGTCCGGATGTTTTTTTAACGCAGGAAAAAATTCACCCTCGTCTAATTCAAATTGTTTAATATCGTACATCCAAATTAAACCGCTTAACATATCTGGCCATATATTATATACATCTAATAGTTTACCATTTTCTTCATCTAACGTATCTACTGCTCTAGCAAAAATAAGAGAAGATGGTATATCAAAATAATCTAAAAGAGCTCGCATTTTCATAGACAACGGTTCATTCCAAGTAGCAAGCATATCGTTGGAAAATATATCCATTATGTTCCATCGTTGTTCAGGATATATTTCTTGAATTTGTTCAATAGTCATTAATTTAGTACCATGACAAGCTCTTTGAATTTTACCATCTGGACTTATTCTAAGTATATTTCCTCTATCAAAGTCTAGGAATAAACCCTTTTGCATAAAATCAAGATCCTTGTCGTTCAATGGTTTTAACAAATATTTTTTATTATATCCTTTTTCTCTCACTAAATAATTAGCTAATATTTCATATTCCAAATGTACTAAATTTGTTATATTATATTTTAAAAGTGTATTATCCAAATCAAAACCGATACAATCATAATCAGATATTTTGAACACACTCATATTTGATTTGGATATAGAATTAAATGTTAGAAATGTTTTCAAAGAAAACAAATGTTGCTTTATAATCCTGTCGTATGTCAAATTATTTGTAAACGATTGAAATTGTACATTTATCAATTTATGATAAAAATGAACATTTTTTAACATATCTATATGAAACGTTTATCACAATTCAATTAAATCTAACATATGTAATAAACTAAAAAGATAAAAAGAAACTTTGTTGAAATTATTTGATCACGATGAAATATTTGACATACAGAAATTGTACACGACATAAGATAGCAATAGCCAATCTGCTCAAATAAAAAATACTAGACTTTGTAAAAAATGACTTAAGACATAATATTTGAATAATTAATATTTTATTGCTACTAATATAGTTTTTTCTTTTTTTTTCTTTTGTTTGTTATCTCAGCACTTTTGGTATATAGATAATTTAAAAAAAGGTTAATTTTATGATCACTTTTAAATTATAAGTAATAACGTTTATTTTTTTTTCCCCTATGAAACATAACCTATATAAGAAATTAGACAAGAATTTGTTCTCATTGAATGAAATGATCAATATTTCATTAATCAATAATATTAAACATAATATTGTTTAAAATCACATATATCATTATCACATTAATATTAACAATTAATCAATTGACAAGTATTAATAAAGATCAATAAACAAATTGCGGGAAAATTTAAAGGTACTACTCACCATCGGTGGTATTTGTACGAATCGTATGTTTCTTGCTTGAACGAAAAACATTTGAAAAGGAAATTTATCACCTCTTGGATCAGTAAATATACAATCCTTCATTACGATGTTCATAGATCTATAGAAAAAAAAAATTATACGATAAATATAAGTAAACAATGTTAAAAGTGACATTTTTTCTTCCATTGACTTACGCATCCACGTGTTCGACGGTGCCATAAACCGAAGCTTCGTTTCTCAAATCAATCGTCGTTTGTTTCTTTTCAACAGCTTTTAATAAGATTGATAAACTATTGTAGAAAAAATATTTTTCACGTGAATCACTCTGATACATGTTTTTATTTTGTTTTGATAATGATATATTTCTTTACGAGTACGACGCAAGCGCTTGACTTATCAAAGTGCATATAACATATGAGAAAATCCACGTTAATGATTGGTCCATTTCTTTCTCACATCGTTCGTTATAAATTACTTAGGAAAATAGGTCAATGTAATATGAATTTATAACAGATTTAGATTTAAATAAAAAAAAGATCTAAGATCCAATCTGTATACAAACAATTCAATCAATGTATACATTTTCAAGTCTTTTCTTGTAAACGTAATACAATTTTTGAAACATTTCAAGAATAATGACCAATTCTATCATTTTGAATTTGGACCAATGGCATTGCAGTAATTTTCACTTGTTTCATTTCTATTTTCTTTTTTTTTTTTTAATTTAAATTCAAATATTTCAAGAATAATGATATCCAATATTTGTGAGTTTATTTTCTCATTCATTTACCAAAAAAATGAGTTTATCAGTTATTACGCAGCACATTATTTTAAARTAAATAAATTCAATGTAATTTGAAAATGATATTGTCAAAAATGAGTCGTTGTTAAATAATGTTTGAAATTTGTCAATATTACATAGAATTCATATAATGTTCAAATAGAAATGTTGAAATATCTCGAAACAAGAGATACATGACTTAAAAGACCATTTTCATAATTATGAGCACATTTATTATGTTTAATTGAAATATTAATAATAATAATAATTTTATTCTGGACAAAAAAAAAATAAAAATAAAAACAAGTCTTTTATCTCTTTAAAAGATTATCATTTTTATTATAATGTAATAGATAATATATGAGATGAAAGAAAAATTCATATGTCAAAGCATTACACTTACTGCATAATAATCTACTGTGAACTCTATTTCTGATCTATATATAGTCACCCATAGTCGTCATTACTAGAGGAATTAGATTACTTCCCAACGGATATACGAAGGGGTCTTATAAACGGTTACATCCTATATATGTCAAAAATAATCGCATATAGAATTTTTAGCATTCGTATTAATATCGTCGTCGTTTAGTCTAATTGAAATGTAAATCACAAATAATTATTTTGTATGAAATAATAGTCAATTTGATAGATTCGTGTATCTATTTTTTTTTTATATGTACATTTGTCAATCTTTTTTCAAAAAATTGACTTATTTGAAAAAACATCACGAGTGTGCAGATCACACACGATAGAAGTGAAACTTGCAAAGAAAACCAAGCTTCAAAATAATTGAATTTTAATACAGCGCCATCTATTGAAAGAACTTTACAGAATCTAGATAATCTCTAAATGAAAATCTTCAAATTAGTAATAAAAAATAATTTAAAAAAAAACAATCGCGATAAAAGTGGTGCTATGTGCTAAATTGGAAAAAATCACGTGAAATAAAATAAATTTCATTAAAATAAGTTGAGTAGTTGTTGGAATTGTTAGTGGACAAACATATTGTTACACTGAATGTTTATATATAGAATTAAATTATATATTGAATTTTATTAATTAATTAATTATTTCTGTTTCATCGGTTTCACGTTATTCCGTTTAACGATTTTCAAATCACCCTGATTCTAAAGAAGTTTTCATTTCAAAAAAAANTTCAAATCACCCTGATTCTAAAGAAGTTTTCACTTGAAAAAAAAAAAAAAAAAAAAAAAAAAAGTAGAAGAAGAAAAATCTTATTTTACGATGCTTATTTATTGTGACAAGCACTTGTGTCTCGACCATTATCGTAATTACGTACGTGTGTGGGTGATTTCTCATCTCGCTTTGACTTGATGCCATTGTTCAGGCGCATTTGAGCCTTGAAAGAGGGTTAATGTTAATAATACTGCGTATTTTTTTTGAACGCTCGTAATTTCAGCACCGTTTTTCATTCAATTGTATTTCAATTAAGAGATATTTACTCGCTTTTATCATGATACTTGTCCTCGCGTATGAAAAGCTCTTTTTAAAGAGCATGCGAGCGAGCGAGCGAGCGAGCGAGCAAGTTGTTGGAACGTTATTAAATCTTCTGCAATAATAGATTTCATTTATAAGAAGTAATTTAAAAAGTTTTTACAAATTGTTGTATATATTCGTTTATATATATATATACATATATATTGTTTTATATCAAACGAAACGTAGTCGCATTTGCTCCCTTCGGTTCATTCGGTGCCGTGTGACCCGCACTCATGAGTGCCTTCTTCCTGTGAACATCGTTCCCTCTCTATTCCTCTCTAACTCCTCTCTCTCTCTCTCACCCCCTCGTCCCCCTCTGGATACCTTCTCTCCTCTGTCCTCTCCTGTTCTCTAATCGGCTTCCTGGATGGGACACATTATCTGCCTGATTGTAGATCTCAACGTAGAGATATCTAGCGAAACCACAGGATTTCTGTCATAAGCTTCTCAGTTCGCAGTTCATCGTGCGTAAAAGGCCCCATGTACGTATCCGCGAGACAATAATAATAGTATGTCATTTCGTTGAATGTTATCGAATGTAACGCACAGCGGTGCAGTGAATCTGCAGCTGTGCATAGTCGACGACGTTTCGATCTTGACGATCTTGTTAAAGGTGCGAATCATCTTCCGTCAGTTAAACGATGCGAACTAACTATAAGTACGATCATATAAGAGGATTGTTGTAAAGGGATATTACGTGTGTTCAGAGACGAAAGACTGTCTCTATTGACCGTCTTTCTTCTCATATTATTATTTAGGTAACTTCATTTGGTGATCTATATATATAAAAGTGTTGTTGGACCTGTAAAAGAAATATCTATTTAATGAAATACTTGAAAATAAGAAGAAAAAACATTTGGAACAATTAAATCTTACGATTAATTATGCGTATTGTGCATAATTGCAGTTGTCAATTGAAACGATCGTGATCGTTTTCAAAGAACGCGTTACAACGATGCAAGAAGCGGGATGACATCGATTAAAATCTTCATTAACGTTCCTGGTATCCAGAGAAGAAAAGCCGAAGGATTTCTGTAGCAGTGAAACATTTTGAAAATAATAAATAATAAAATGTCGCTGGGACAAAGATTGTCTGGTGCAGTTGCGGTCTTGCGCGGAACTTCCGTACCGCCTGCCAAAGAGAGTCATACGTAAACAAATATTTATCACAAGTTGTAGTAGTAATATTAATTATGAAATTGTTGTTTATTTCAAAAAAATCTTGTAGATCGGAAACTGAGCAGATCGAGAAGATGCCGTCCGAGAGCGAGATTGAAAGCAAAAAGCGAGTTGAGGTCACACCTCTCGATAGATTACAGGCGGTTGGTAATCGAAATTGGATATAAAAATATCACATGGCAATCATTATACTTAATACAAAATAAGTTCTTATCTTCGTCGAATTAAATATTATTAATTATTCGAAATAAAGGTAAACGAATTGCTGACGTTTATATATAACGAAGATGAACTTATTGGTTAATATATTAAAACAGCATTTTCCTGTACTTGATGTAACATTTCAACAATCATTGGTGTAGGTGGTTGATTGGATGGCTGAAAACATGCTCCTCGTCTTAACTATCGTCGCTGTTCTCGTCGGCTTGGGTCTTGGATTTTTAGGTCGATTGCTCGAACTATCACCCCAGTCAATAATGCTCGTCAGCTTTCCAGGAGAGATTCTCATGCGTCTATTGAAAATGTTTGTTCTGCCACTTATTACTTCGTCCCTAATAACAGGTAATTATAATAAATTATTGTTAAATCATTAGAGAGTGTGTACAAATTTGTAGAAATAATCTATTTACATTTTAATTTTTTTTCTTGTTTCTAGCAATGGCTCAACTAGATGTGAGAAGTTCTGGAAGAATTGGTTTTAGGGCTTTAGCGTATTACACCGTGACAACTATACTTGCTGCTATGGTTGGTATCGCTATGGTTTTGTTAATACATCCTGGTGACCCAAGAATCAAAAACATTATCGTTTTGCCGTCATCGGAAGATACTACAGTTTCAACACTCGATGCTTTACTGGATATCGTCAGGTAGAATTATTACGGTCATTGTTATAAAAAAAAAAAAAAACCTGCCAAAATAAGATAGATACCTTGACGTTGTTATTCTATCAATTCGATATGTAGAAACATGGTACCAGAAAATCTGGTGCAAGCCTGCTTCCAACAGGTTCAAACTTCTTACGTAAAGAAAAAAGTATTGCTGGTTGGAAGTACGAATCAGAGTCATCTTGTTTCGGAACCAATATTGGTATACAAGGATGGTACAAATGTCATGGGTATGATTATATTTTGTATAACTTTTGGTGTCATCGCAGGACAATTAGGATCAAAAGGAAAAATTATGACTGATTTCTTTGCCATTCTCAATGAAATCGTCATGAAGTTCGTCGGTATTATTATTGTCTGGTGAGTAAGATGAAAACCTTCTACAACGTTTAAATATATATAATAAAATATATTGATTTATTTCATTTATTATTTTTTTTTTTTTTTTTTATTTATTTAGGTTCTCACCATTTGGAATAATGTGTTTAATAGCTGGAAAAATAATGTCTATCGTAAATCTTGCCGCTACTGCACAAATGTTAGGATTGTATATGATTACCGTTATATTAGGTTTATTAATACACGCAATAATTACCTTACCATTGATCTTTTGGTTAATAACACGTAAAAATCCTGCTGTTTTCTTCGCGGGTATGATGCAAGCATGGGTTACGGCTTTGGGAACTGCATCAAGGTAACGGAAAATGATGAATCGATTTGTATGTAATATTAATAGATTAAAAATAATATAATTTCGTGAATTTTTAGTGCTGCAACTTTACCCATTACATTCCGATGTCTCGAACAAAACAACAAAATTGATTCACGTATTACGCGGTTCGTTGTATCGGTAGGAGCTACCGTAAATATGGATGGTACTGCACTTTATGAAGCTATAGCTGCGATATTCATTGCACAGATGAATGCACGACCGTTAGGTATTGGTGAAGTTATAACAGTCAGGTGAAAAAACTATGAAAATATTTTGTTCATTTATATTTTTGTATACAATTCATGCGTATCGTATTTTCTCTTTTATATATCTATATTTAGTATTATTATTATTATTTACAGTTTAACAGCTACCTTAGCTAGCATAGGAGCAGCAAGTATACCAAGTGCTGCATTGATTACCATGTTGTTGGTATTAACAGCCCTTAATTTACCTACCGACGATATTTCTTTACTTTTTGCTGTAGATTGGATATTGTAAGCTACCCTTATACATTTTTCTAATGTTTATGAAATTTTTTAATGATACAAACATGTTCGTTTTGTCACGTACTTATTTCACGTATTTTCAGAGATCGAATTCGAACTTCCATCAATGTATTAGGTGATGGATATGGTGCCGGTATAGTTTATCATTTAAGTAAAGGAGAACTCGAGAAAATGGACGAAGAAAGAAAGTTGGAAGGACTTGAAACAGGTTCACCGTTAGAAGATATAACTGATAAGTGTCAAGAAGAAATTGTATCGGAAGATCAACAAATTTCCGAGACGAAAATTTGAAAAAAAAAAAGACATCTTTTTCTTTTAATGAAGAATTATGTTTTTTTTTTTTCTCCAAATAAGTGTTCGTCTATATATTAAATATATAGTATATAGGCACTGCTATAAAATCGAGATATGTACATTTATAATGTACATAATTGATTTTATTATATCTTCCATCGCTTTCCTTTCCATTGTTCTATACAATAAAAACATTTTCCGCTATCATTTGTGTATAATTTTTAATATATTTTATTGCCAATGTAAGCAATGAAGTAAAATACAATATTTTTGTTTAGATAAAAGAAAAAAATTGTAACCATAGAAGAAGATTGATTTTTTTTTAATTAAAATTTCACGTTATTTTGTTTCCTTTTGAATTATTTCTTGAAACTTTTTAATTATATATTGAATCACATTAAAAACTTAATATAATCTTTGGATATGTTAAATCATTTCTAACTATAATTTGTCTTTTGGTCTTTGACTGAGATTAAGAATTGGCTTTACATATAAAAAAAAACAATTATCATTTATTTTATGTGCACTACAGGATAAATAAATATTTGATTACATCTTACTGTAATTCTCGCTACTTTTTTTTTTCTTTGTTAAACTTTTCATTATGTGGAATGTGAAGTAAATCAATGTTATTATTTTATATGAATGTATCCCAGAGTTACAAATTCGTTTTATACAAGTGCCAAAGTTAATCATTTGTCACCCAAATACTTGTTTTCTTCATCATACTTTTAGCAAATATTTCTAACTTGGGGCTATGTACATATATTTATTTTTGATGATGGATCATATTGTTCAATTGTTTCATTATAAAATATTTATATTTTAAATATACCTTTTTTTTTTTTTCTTCTTCTTCAGTACACGTGAACCATACCGTATAGGAAACTATTTTCATTGAAATTTAAGAAAAATATTAATTAATGTAAAAGAAATATCATATTGAAATGAATAATAATTTATATTAATTATGAAAGGATACGTCCAAAATAATACGTATGTCTAATATTTTCAATTAAAATCAACAATTGCGATGGAAATTCTATTAAGGAAAATATGAATGATAAATTATGTATAAATATAGGGTGTTCAGAAAGAGTCATTTCTTGTTTTCTTTTGTAAAAATGAAGATCATTTTTGCTTCAAAGTTAAACCTAAACCTTTGAAGTAGTAGTTGAAGTTAGACTTAGAAGTCATAGTTGAATTTGATAAATTTAACCTCTCATCGATCTTCTCATGTGTTATTATTTGTCGATTTGCATTAACTAATGTCATTATTGTGTCAGTAAAAAACGAAACGACTTTTCTAACCACCTAATATTATGTTTTTCGAATAACAAAGGATACAAAAAGTCCACCAAAAAATCCACTAGTTAAAAGATTTCTTCTACTAATAAAATATTTCTTCCATTGTCCACCAGCCTTTAAGAGTAACATTGCCTGTGAAACAATTTATTGAATAATAAGTAACATGAATATATAATATTTATGATACACAGTGAAAATATAACTTTTGTTAAATATTACCCATAATCCAAAAACTGCAAAGATATAGAAACCAAAACCGTATAATCCAGTTAAACCTAATAATCCAGCAGTACCTCCTGATAATGCTGCCATAGATATTCTACAATATTCAACAACAGCAGCATTGTTCATAACAGCTGCCTCACTGTATGCAATTATTTCTGTAAAATAATTCAAATATTATTCTTACATATATATATATACTATCTAACGAATTTATGTTTATATTTTACAGTTTACAAAAAAAAAAACACAAATAATGATGTTATGATCAGGACATTTAAATTGTATCATAGAGAACATAACCTTCAAATTACTACACACGTCAAAAGATATAGATTTTATTTTATTATAAGAATAATAATATATTAATAACTAACCTCCCTTTTCTTGTTTTGTTTTTATTTTTCCCAACATGTCAGCGTAATATTTCAATCTTAAAAACAAATTTATAATGAGTAAACAAAATATATTTCGATATATATATATAATATTACTTGTCTAAACTTTACGAAGAGACCAGCAATGTTCAGGTTGTGTTCCCATAATAAAACTGGTTACAGTAGTTACAGTGAGAGCGCGCGATATGTCTGCTTTCTTATTGGATAATTCTAGAATTGAAAATAAATTGACACATGATCTATGTTTTAAATAAATACAATAGAGAAATTCTAGAATTTTCAAAAGGATTTTATTGAAAATATTTAATACATTAATAAATGTATTAATTTACGATATATAAAGTAAATAATACTAATTTTTTTCAATGCTAAAAATATGCAATATTAACAGATTCACATTGGTTACTAATTATGGCTTCTTATGAAACTTGTCATTCCTAATATAACACACTTATCGATTTATTTCAAACATTAGATTATTTATTATCTAAATTTCAATGATATTAAAATACTTTCAATAGATTTGAAATATTTGATTTTAATTTTAATTTTAATTTTTCATTTGAAAATGATCAATAAAATCACATTTCTGTATAAAACGAAATTCTAGAAAGTAACGATGATTAAAGTGAAATATATTCATCATTGTATAGTATAAGTAAGTTTTAAAAAGATAGTAAGAGTTAGATTTTGAAATCGTTCTAATTTCTTGAACGACGTTCAGGGTCACTTTAAGTAAGAGAAGGACAAAGAAAAATGTAGAAGACGCGATGATGATGGCGCCCGAAGAGAGAACGACGACGCTTTCGTCTTTAGCAAATCTTTTCGTAGAGAGAAGAAGAGATTGGTCGTTGGGATTCGATACGAGGGGGCTAAAGCGGGGTGGCTTGTGGCTCAAAGACGAAAATAACTAAAGAGACCCGTTCTCAACTCTCTCTCTCTCTCTCTCTCTCTCTTTTACTCTTTCTGCTTGTTCTTCTTATTCTTCTTCTTCTTCTTTCTCTTGACTCCGCACACGATATTTGTGTTCCACCAGAGTTTCTTCAAACTTCGACGAGCTTTTTTTATTTTCCCCTTGGCTTTTTCTCTCATCGACATCGAAGAAAAAATAGAAAATATAAAACGACGAATTGCGCGAAAAGTTTCGTCAATGACGATCGATCCTAATCGAACGACTTTTTGATTTACGAAAAAAGAAACAACAGCAACAACAACGATACCAAAAAGAAAAAAGATCGATAAATCATCGAACAACTAATTGTTTCAGTTTTGAAATACTTGAGGTGTAAGATCGCGGGAAAATAATTAGTGCCTTTTTTTTTTTTGGTAAATGGTGTTTTACACCCTCTCGATGGGTGAATTTGAACGATCTTAAACGAACATAATGTCTTATTGATATTTATGATTATTTTTGACGATCATCCATCGACTTCGACGATAATTTATTTCGTTGTGTAACTCATCGTAAGTTCATTTCTTTTGATTTTATATTTTTTATTTATAATTATGTATGAATATGTATGTACTCACACACATTTACGATCTTATTATTATTATTATTATTATTGCGCGTTTTTTACTTTGTCTTTCAAGTAATGGGTTAACAGATAAATAGATTAACGTTAAAGTAATCTCTATTAATTAATGTCATTAATTTTGTTCAAAGTACTGCAGTATACTATTACATGTTGTAACAACGAATTTCACGTTGTAATATTACGTTTTATTGGATGCTACTGTTAATATCCTTACGTGTAACATAAATTGCGTTAATTTTCTCCGGCCGGGTAACGTATGTGCGTGCCAAAGACCTTTACCTCGAAAATGAATGAAAATAACTATTCTTTCGAGTGTGTATTATTTCAACGAGAACGATTATTTTCTTCTTTTTTTTTTTTTTTTTTTTTTCAATTTTCTCTTCGATATTTTTCTATTCGAATAAAATTACAAGGAGAGTAATCTGAATCCTTTAATACATTTAGAAAATTGTATTAACCTTAACCTACGATCGATGCTATTCTCGTTAATTCGAAATGTAATTGGAACGATTGTAGATTGTAGAGAGACACATACATATATATATATACATACATAGATAACGTACATAACTCATTAGAAGACATATGGACATGACTATTTCGGTTTCGTTGCTGGAAATAGGTTCGAGAATGAGACTGGTGTGATATGTTCATCGACTTGTACCTATTTTACTCTAATCTATTCTATTCTGTTCTTCATTTTGTAAATTATGTACGTGTTTTTAATTGATGTTAATTTAAGTTTGATTAAAGAAATAAAAGTACATAATTTTGATGATCGTGAAATGATCGAGTATATCATCTTATCAATGTGTCGTACGACACATAGGATTAGTGAAAACTTGTAGCAATTACCGTTAGCGGATCATCCTATGAAAAATCTAGAAAAAACTACTTTAAACTTAAGGGAAAATAGAAAAAGGGATTGAAAATGTTACTTGTTTTTATTAAGAGGTGGAGCCTCGTATAAACGTGTGAGCATGCGGAATTTGTTTAAGGTTTAAACGCATGCGTAGGATTTCATCGGGGGATAGAGAGCGGTTTGGCCCTCCAGGACAGTGAGCATCCAGTCGGTGATCGTCGTCGTTTCGATCGGTGTGGCTGACGAAAAGGGTCGCCGTCCTCGGCCTTTTTATCCCTGGTTCGTTCTTGCACCCTCTTGTCCTCAGTCATCGTCATCGTCATCGTCATCGTCATCGCGTGTGATCTTCGTAATTTTTGGCTTGTTTGTGTACTTATTCAATAGTGCTCGAAAATTGGATAGGAAAATTTGTTTTGCTTGGAGTTAAAGCTCAGTAAAATTCAAGAAGTGGAAGAAGAGGAAGAGAAGGAAGAAGAGGAAGAGGTGGAAGAGGAAGAGGAAGGGAAGATCATGCTCGAGTGTGATAAACGTGAGTGTTTTTAACGTTAGGAAAAGGGCCATCACTTCATTCCCTTTGGACGAGCTGTAAGCACGAGCTTGCGAGCAGGAAAGCTTGCGAGCACGAGCTTGCGTACGTCGAGGAGGAACGAAAACGAAGATCTTTCTCGTTGTTGTGTGACGATCTCGTGAAAGCTGGGTCGTCGCCGGTATGGCTGACAGCGAAGGTGGCTCCGAACAGGACGACGTATCATTCCTTCGTACGGTGAGTCCCTTTATTTCATTAATAACTTTAATTACGATTAAGTATACTGTTTACTCCTACATCCTCATTTATTTCAGAAACCTTTGCGTTCTTTAATTTCTTCTTAATCTTCGTGAACCATTTATTGACGTTGTGTCACATTGTAAACAAATAATATTATAATGTATTTTTCTAATTACTGTAAAATATTTTTTGCACGAGTACAATTTAAATGAAATAGGTGCAGTTTAAATTAATTTCTAGATTTAATTGTCTTATTAATACGAAAAGAAATAATATTAACGATTGAATTTTATTTTAATTAAAAAAAAAAAAAAAAAATGTCAACGTTGAATGTACGATTTGCAAAGGGGTGGGTGGATGGGGGTGGGGGGTTTACGTTATCAATCAAGCATCGTTTCTCAATTTCATTCGACAAAGTAAATCGAATTAAAGTCTGGCGATGAAAGCGAGTTTCTCGATGAAAGGGTGAACTTATTGAATCATGGAAGCACTTAAAGCTCTCCATGCTAAACGACCTTGACCTCGTTTCCCTCGTAAACACCATGCGATCGCACGGTATTCGTCGGATAAATCGCCGACCTTGAGCTTTTCCAGCTACGAGCTCCTTGAACGTTCCGAAGGATACGACGGTACACGCATGTGTGTTTTCCTCTGCGCGTTGGTGTTACATTTTATTTGTGAACGTACCCACTTTCTTTCCACTGATTCATTCATACAAATACATACATACATACATACATACAAATATACGAATATGTATATATATATATACATATATATGTAATAATTTATTTATGATGCTATTATTACAATTGGTTATATTATATGAGTAAAGTGGAAGTAAAAATTTCAAATAAAATACGAAATGTTTTATCACGAGAATGGTTTTATATACGTGTTGATTATTTTTCTTCATTATTATTCTAATTTCTTCGTTAGATAGATTAGAACGTTTCGCGTAATATTTCCTTGTCGTTTTCATTTCTATATGTTTTCACTATTTCACCATCAACGTTTTCTACATTGCAATTTTTTCGCAAGTCTTATATACTTTCGTTTTTTTTTATCAGACAAGCAACACCACCTTTTACCGGCCTCTCGTGCAACTACCGTAACACGTTTACCCGGTGATTTGAAATACATTTCAAGATAAAAGATAATAAAAGGATTATTAGATAAGATTAATCTTCGTCTACGTCTTTTCGATTTGCATCGGCATTTTTTTCTGGACGATCTGCTACGACTACGATGTCTGTGTCCCTCGGTGACTGGTTTTTCTTCATCGTTAATTTTGTCCTTTCGCATATCATTTTGCATGTCGTACCTGTCAACAAGAAAAAAAAAACTAAAGAATTGTATCATATCTATTCTCATTGTTATTAATATTATACATGGTTTATTTTGTTGTTGTTGTTGTTGTTGTTGATAAAGATCAAGGAAAGATTGAAACAATTTATCTTAGTTAAAGTGTTACGATTTTGAACGTGTGTTGTAAAGAATAAAATAAAAACAGATGTGTACTGATCACACACGATTGAAGTGAAACCTTCAAAGAAAACCAAGCTTCGAAATAATTGAATTGTAATACAGTGCCATCTATTGAAAGAACTTTACAGAACCTAGATAATCTCAAAATGAAAATCTTTAAATTAGTAATAAAAAATGATAATAAAAAAAAAATCGCGATAAAAATGGTGCTATGTGCTAAGTTGGAAAAAAATCACGTGAAATCAAATAAATTTCATGAAAATAAGTTGAGTAGTTTCGAAATTATTACTGGACAAACATATTGTTATACTGAATTTTTATATATATAGAATTTAATTAATTAATTAATTAATTAATATATAGAACTAAATTATATATTGA